AAAAAAAAAAAAAGGTAATTATTCCATTCATATGGATATGTGACTGACCCAATGCTCCTTATTGAAAAGATCATCATTTCCCAACTACATTGCAGAGGAACCTTTAATATAAATCAGATGACCACACATATATATGTTGGGCCTTTTTTAGGGTTCTTTATTTTGATCCATTGTTCTGATTTTTTCATTCTTAAGTAATACCATACTGCCTTAATGACCACAGATCACATTAACAAATTCAAAGAGAAAAACATTATTGTGCCAAAATGGCATCTGACAATATTCCATTGGCATTTCTAATAACAAAAGTTAAGTAGGGTCTTCAAGAAACAACTGAGACAGTCTATTTAAACCTAGAGTAAACATTACACTAAGTGATTTCCATTAAATTTGGAGAAATAATTAGATGCCTGCTATCATCAATAATCCCACTAAACCTTTTCTGAAGGTTCTATTATAAGATTAATAAAATAATTGCTATACATATTCAGGAAAAACCAAAATTATATCTATTTGCAGTTAACAAAACTGTTTAGAAAACTAAGAGTCTAGTAAAACATAAAATTAAAAGATTAGACCTTTGAAAATCTTTTGTGATAATGAAAATTATTATTGCATTCATATTTAAATTTTAACTTGACAAAATCACCATAAATACAGATATAAGCCATAACCTGGAAGACAGTTAAATTCATCACTTATAACACGTAAAGGATTACTATCTGGATAAGAATATCACAAATCTTACATGAATTTTTTTTAAATGGGCAAGATGTGAATTAGCAAGTTGTTTAGACATGAAACAGATGTTTACAGATGCTTAACTCATTATTAATCAAGAAAATATTAAAACTCATACCAGACATGGATATAAGGAATTGCTTCACTAGTTAAAGGCATTATAAATTTACCATAATGCTACTCTACTTCTGTAGCAATATCTGGCAAGGGTAAAAGTGAACATAAATTGTGAGAGGATAATCTCGCTTTTTGATAAGCACCTTAGAAAAACTCTCATGTATAGCAAGAAACACAGAGATATTCGGTAAGGCATTTTTCACAGTGAAAAACTGAATATAATAAGAATATTTATCAATAAAAGGTTTAAATACATATACAGACAGGGCCTATGGGTTTTCTATTCCATTGAAAAAGCACCTTGTATAGACTGTGGAGTGCTGGATATCAAACCTCAGGGCCACATGCATGTTGGGCAAGGGATCTACCATTGAGTCATACCTTTAATCCCCCCAAAAAGCACCATTTTAAGTTTTAAAAATGCAAGCAGCTGGGTACATAGCATGTTAGTTGCTTTCTTTGCCATAGAACCATAGATCTGCCATAATGGAGACATTTCAATCCTTGAAGTACTTCTGGTAATGGCAACATCTGCCCAAGAACATCTGGAATAGGTAAGAGTTCTATATGAAGTCTGAGATGTTTTTGGTTTAGATAAAATGAAACAGTCTGTGAATCTTTTTATAGGCACTTAATGTGATTCCTGCCCCAAAAATATGGTATGCAGAGCTCCTATGCTTGTTTTAACAAAAACATTTTCTTCAAATACTATTAAGTACTATATTTTCAGAAAATTTCAGTAAATGTGCTGTCTCCAAGAAACCTCTGTTAACATGAAATTGTTACAGATTGTTACAAATTGTTATCAAACATCCATCTATAAGCAAAAACTAATTTTATTCTTATATCAGTAATTTTACTTAAGATATTTTGTGTTAATTTTACTCTTTATGAATACAAACAATTTGAAATCCTGAGTGGTAAAGATGTATTATTCCAGATGATGAATGATTGATTAGCGACAACTGCCCTATCAGAGCAAAATAGACTTGGAAGTACAAATCTTAAGGTATATCTTTAGTGGCATCAGAGATTTGGTTGAAAATAAAGAGTTGTGACAATATTCATTTTAATTTGTAGAAGGTGCTAAGGTTGAATGTGCACCCCAAAGTTCATGTGTTGGAAAACTTTATCCCCAGTGGGACACTCTTAAGAGGTGGGACCTGGAAGAGATGAATATGTCATAAGGCCTCTGTCTTCATGAATGGATTAATGTAATCATTTTGGAAGTGGGTTATTTATTGCAGAAATGAGTTCCTCTTCTTTCTCTCCCCACCCCCAGTACTGGGGATTGAATCCAGAGCTTTGCATAGCTAGGCAAGTGTTTTGCCACTGAGGCCTCTACCTTCATGAGAGGATTATCATGAGAATGGGTTTGTTATAGAAGTGGGTTTCTTATTATAAAAGGGAAAGCTTACCCCTCTTGCTCTCTCTCATCCTCAATTTATCCTTCCACCATGGGATGACAGAATACAAAGGCTCTCATTAGATGCCAGCCCCTCAATCTTGGCCTTTTCAACCTCCAGTACCATTAGCCAATAAATTCCTATTCATTGCAAATTACAGTCCACAGTATTCTCTTATAGCAGCACAAAGCAGACTAGGCCAATAAACTTTCATGTTGAATTTCTATGTTTTCATATGTATAAATTGCTGAGTCTGGTCTTGAACTTGCAAGGAGGTCTCCTTGCTGGAATTACAAGTGTGAGCAAAGCTGATGAAGTTCAGATAAATGAAAATAGTTAGGAAAATAATGTAAAAAAACGTTGGAGGGTTGGGGTTTAACTCATTTGGTAGAGTTTTTGCCTAGTATGTGTGAGGCACTGGGTTCAATCCTTAGCAACACATTAAAAATAAATAAATAAAGGGATAATATCTGTTGCCTACAATTAAAAAAAATAATGGAGCTGGGTCATGTCTTTTGTCCAACATTGTTAAATTGTTCAAGTTAGAAATAAAAAAAAATCTAGGGTCTGGGGATATAGCTCAGTTGGTAGAGTGCTTGCTTTACATGCACAAGGCCCTGGGTTCAATCCCCAGCATCACACACACACACACACACA